GTGTCAAGCTGTATTTTATGGTTTCCTACAGTCATATGGCTTCTAGTTCCATTTGTCATGAGGGTTCTTATGCTTTTAGTATATTCATAAATTCTAGATTTTTAGACAGCGGCTCATGGGTCTGAGCTTGGGTCACATTATGTTTGTACTGGGTCATGGATAGGTTTATAGTAGCGAGTTCTAGAAATAAGTCTTTGGCTTCTATAAATGAAGTCATATCCCAAATGTTAAAACATATCTTGAACAGCCTGTGTATACAATACTCTTTTCAAATCCAAACCCCCTCATACCTTTACATTCAAGAATCCCATATCATCACCAACTTTATATCCACAAAACCTAAACTCCACGATCAGCCCTGGAAAACACGAACTCTAACTCGATTCATATTTCTTCAAACATTTGTAAATGAGATTATAGAAGATCACAAATCAGCCAAGATTATAACACTTAGTATTTATAGCTCTGGAACAACCATTATTTCATACCCCACCCTAATTCTCCCAAAACTAGTTGCCATCCAGAATCTTCAGCCTGAGAATCTTGCAACCAAACTCCACCACAATTCAACCAATTACAGCCACAAAGCCCATAATCATTCTTCTACCTTTATGAAACTTCTTCATCCCATGCCCAGAGAATTACTAATCATGCATGAGAATACTCTTAGTTTGCAACTGCTTCCCGAAATTGTTTGGGGTTATCAGAGTTAGTAGGAGACAGTTCTCCACAACTGGCCCACATCAAACTTTAAAGATGAAACTTATCTTATGTTAGGCAAAAAAATTAGAGAAGGAAAACAAATTACAATACAATTTAACCTCCTTTGTTAACATGTTTTTGAAAGAGCAACCCCTTCCGCTTAGTACTACACTTTGACTTCACATATAATGTAAGTAACAAATATAAATTCTGACTTCAAAAGCAAAATTAATTTCTCAAAACTAATTCACATTAATAATAAGCTGTAACTTTCATAGCTATACCAAAACCACAGCCTACTCCACCACACACAAGAATGATTATGCTCATAATCCATGTAGAGGTGGGAAAAATTATAGCAAAGCGACCACCATAGACACTGAGCAAACATTGTCTCCAGATGGAAACGTTAAGAAATATTCAATATAATCTCAATTTAAATATTTCAGATCTGTAGACACAGATGAAACAATGACTAATGAGAAAAGAGAACAGCACAAACATGGCCATATCTTATAAGAGAAAAATGCATGTGACAAAAATACCTTCTCATGACTGGGTGGATCTAATTTTATAATAGCCTTGATGGTTATTGTTGCTTGAATTAAAACCACTGCCTCGCCATCTGCAGATGCAACATCACTCATTGAAGATTCTGCAATATTGAAGATATTTCAAAAGATTGTGTGTATACATTTGAAAAAAAACAACACAGAAAATATAAAGGAAAAAACAAAACGAAGAAAATATATTCTTCTAAAAGATCCAATACAGCAGAATAGTAGGTGAATTACGGGGTGAGATTAGAGTCAATAACCCTTCCAAACATTTGGTTGCTACTGTTGGAAGACGTTGCACGCATAAACTAATTGCAGCAACAGTATCTGCAGCAAATCTTCTGTCTGGATCTCGAATATAATCCTAGCAATGCACTAAAAGATAAGAATCAATTTGTGCATATCAATAACAGGATAAAAAATAAAAGCAAAATCAGGCAACGATGACAGTGCTTCATCAAAAAATTAGGAATTAATTTTTGTTAGACAAAAGCGAAAAAATTAGTGGCACACGGGCAGTGCTAGGCTAAAAGATCCCAGCGCAGAGGCAGTCTGGCTGGCCTCCAAGTCCAGGCTGCATTTTTAGCAACTAGCCAATCCCATGGCTACCCTTTCATATACATGCACTGCATACGACCTCTCGACAAACTATATTTGCCTAGGTGCATCTCCAGTTTTCCCTTTACTTCCCTAAATTTTTTGCAATTTTGTGCATGAAAGATTAAATAGTATGAGCAAATGTATAGCTTGAAGGATCCCTCATCCATACATATAAGTCTTCGAAGATTTTTCTTAGACCCCTCTATGATGTTTCCAAGTACATCAAACATCAATCAGGGTGGCCCACAATCTATATAAAAGATATCACTATAAGAATCATATGATGGTGTCTGATGTTGAAGTACAATCAAAAACGAAAATTAAACAAATGGAAAGTTTGAAGGAACCCTAAGTTCCAACATCTAGCTAGGTAAACTAGGTCAAGCAAAAGTTGAATAGAGATATACCAACATTAGACCTAATGAGTACATACTGCAAGCAGCTTGAGTGGTTTAGATTTTGAAATCCAACAAACTATTATTTCTCAACCTACATAGTAAGTGCTGAAATTTAATTATTCGACATTAGATGCAGATATAGAACTGGCATCAGAAGGGTAAGAATCAGAGGACAATCCCACTTAACAACCTTTTATATCAGCTTACTTATATCTTGTTAATAACTAATAACAATCACACTATTCCCATAATTTGAAGCTTCAATGTTAAAAGTTTCTATTTCTACAAGAAGTTGAAGAATTAGTAGACTCCATATAAATACAAATTCTTCTGCAAAGATAAAAAGGAAGGAAAATATTCACTTGTATTCATGACTAGGCTTAGATAATCAACTTGTTTTAGTTGTACATAGTTTCTATCTCCCGTGACTTGAATAAAAAAAGGTAATCATATCCTTACTAGATTAGAACTAAAGATGGTCCAAATTAAAATTTTCCATATCTCAACTAGTACCTCGACATTTAATTCAAACAACAAAAAAGCATCAATCCCATATTATCCGCACTATTATAACTTTTGTTCATGTTTTTTGGGTTCTCACAAAGCATTGTTTTATGATTTCAAATCAGATCTTTCCTATGATTTAACCTTAAGGTTGTGAGTTCAAATCTAAGAATAGCTACTTTGGCAAATAATGAAAAAGTTAGGCTTGTACCCAATCTAACCTCTTGGAATAAACTGGGTGTTTTTTAATCAGATTTTTGCTCCAGAAGAGAAATCAACTCTCTCAACAATGTGACTCTAATCCACTGATTAGATATTCTATAAATCCAAAATCAAATTGCTGCACAACGCTGCCTAAACCAGGGACTCCAAGAACCTTTTTATTCAATTGTAGACACAAAGTTCCAGAAACTTGAGTTATCCAGTCAGCAATTGATCTTTCCCTAAACTTTACCTGTTCAATCCATAATCCCTAAGGATGCTTTTAGTCATCATAGAATAATTGTAGACAACCTTGTTTTCTGTTCCAACTGTTGTTCTAGTTTTTGTTCTATCAGTAAGCCAAAGACAAATAATGATGTAAATACAAATAGAACTGATTTGAATGAGTGTAAACTTATAACATAAGACAATACCTGAAACTCTTGAAAAATAGCAGATATAGATGAATCTGTTGCAATGGAAGATAGTATCTCAAGTTTTAGAGCTTTTATTCGATATGGATCTGAAGAACTTATAAAGAATTCTTCAAAGTGAGTAGAAAAGAGAGAAGGTGCTGCTTTAGTGAAAACTTGAATGTTGCAGAGGACCTGCATCAATTTAAGTATAATTAGATTTAGTGAAACCAAGTTTTGAATTATTGGATCAATAAAGGTACGTGTTGCCAAAATATATCAGTGGTACGCCAAGAACATTCAGTATCTGGTACCACCAGTACTTTCTGGCATGTTTTGGGATCAATATTAGTCTCTCATCAGCCAGTTAAACCATGTCCAATACTAATTACCATTACAATGTCTTATATCCATATACAAAAAGTGAAAAGCAGGTCAAAATACCAGCCCTAAATGGAAAAGTAGGAAAAACTAGGAAAAAGAAAATAAGGTAAAAAGAAGAAGCATTAATAAAATGGGTCATGAACACGCGTGGTCTCATAATTGATCAATCTTTCATTTGAAGCAAAGTTCCCAACAAGAAGATGCCTCCACCCACACCTGTCAGCATGCCATTTGTGTAATATATGAAAGCATATAATGAACACCACATATTGGACTACCAAAACATATGGACAGGATACATGCAGTTATCAAGCCATTATGTAGTAGTAAGTTATCAGTAATTCCTATACAAAGAATCCAATAAAACTGCTAAGAAAACAAAAAAGTTGTCTTACTCCATGCAAGGATCAAAATTTTGTTTCAGTCCATAATTTTAGTTCGGAAACAAAGGAAAAAAGGAAAACTGAGAATTTCAAAACGTCAAAATTTCAATTTTGCATCACTAATTCATTTCGGCCATTTCAGTGGAAACAAAACAAAACAAAATTTTGATCCTCGGTTGCAGTATTCTTGAGAAGATGTCCCTAATGGTCATTACCACTATTTACCAACACTTCCTCAGACATATAAACTGGATTCTTAAGCAAAAGCATTTATGCTTTATTATACCACGGCAGATTGCAAATGGCAATATAAGCCATTAAAAATCAAGCTTTGTCCTACAAAATTTGCAAATGGACCTCATAAAGTACTTCTATAGATCGCCAGAGGTATAGTTCTTGTAGGGATTTTATTTATTCAACATTTCCTCCTCCATAAAACTCTTAGTTCGAATGTCAAAATATTAGTTGGGATTAAAATATGAAAAATATTTAGATGAAACCCTGCTTTTCTTCGTTTGATTTCTTCATTTTTCTTCTTTTCTTTTTAATTCTTTCCCCCACCTTTTTTGGTGTTGGGGGGATGTTAACTTTAAAAGAACTGTCAATCCTCAAAAATAAATAAAAATAACTTAGCGAAAGGAAACAGTACACTTTCAGAACTCCTATTTGACATGACTCTGAACAAAATGAGGATGCATCTCCATTTCAAATTAATGTGCTGTATGTATTCTTATAATTGCAAATCACAGTAAACTTCAATAGTTTGATACTACTAGACAGGAACTTTTTTCAACAAACCAACTCCATATCACCCAGGAGACAGGGAGCTCCTATTTGACATGACTCGGGGGGAAAAAATGAGGATGCATCTTTATTTCAAATTATGTAATCTCTGTGTTCTTATCATTGCAAATCATCCTACACTCAATGGTTTGATACTAGCTAAACGGGAACCTATTTCAAAAAAGCAATTCCAAGTCACACCTTGAACAGCATTTACTATCCACATTGTTTAACAATCCTCAAACCACACCTTTTTTACACATTGCCTTCTCTCAAGGTGAAACACTGCCGAATTGCTATACCCATGCAATCCGTAGGTCACAAAAAAGAGTTCATATTTGCAACAATTAATTGGCTTTTTATGGAGTGGCAGCCAAAGGAGAGTGTAAGAAACATAAAGCTAACAGAAGGCTTGTTCTATGCAACTACAGAAGAATGGATGGATTAACATGTTATTGCAAAGTCAAAAGATCTCATGTTTACAACATTTCATTTTGTTCTAGGCTAGAGTCGCGGAAACAACCACTCCAAATGTGTGAATAGGGCTGCTTATATGTGACCCTCTCAAGATCCTGTAGTAGAGGGAGTCTTATGTACTAGGCTGCCTTTCTTACAGTTTAATTTACAACCTCATATATAGGCTAGAATTACAAAAGATTTTCTTATTAGGTCTTTCTCTTCATATTCCAAATTTTCTTAACCTTCATAATTCTAGTTTCATCGAAGATATATTCAAATTTTCACTGTGTTGTATCTTGTGGGGTAGGTGGCAGCAACAAAGGCATACAAAAGGCGGGCTATACATAATACAGGATTCTTTCTTCCACTCAAGTGGATTTTTTTCCAAATAAATCATTTTTTTCATTTCCTAGATCTACATTTGACCAAAATTCGACTACAGTCCAAACGTTACTAAATTTCCTTCAACAATATGTTGCAAACTGGAACCTCGTAATGTTTTATGCACTGTACACAATACCAATAATGAATTAAAACAAAAAAAGGCTGCAGCATAAGAAACAAACTTAAACAGAATCATATAAGACCACTTTTCTAACGAAAATGCAACATACCACATATTTTGAGGAATTAGATGATCTCAGGAGAAACAAGAGCGGCTTAACAATTTTATTAATGTCCTCCTTTGGTGCCATTATCCAATGTACCCCAGCAGCCGCAAGTACAACTGCACTATTGTGACTCCATAACAATGGTGAAGTACACTGCAGGAGGATCTTCACATCATCGTTACTTTTAGCAGATGTATAACATGAAGAATCCATTCCAGATGTAACCCTTTCTGCATAGCTTGACCTTGATAAATATTTATCTGGTCCTTCCAGGTAGCTACTGGATATCATACTGGCTAACTCAGAATCATATATCCCATTATCCGGGTCATCAGCGTTTTCTTTTCTAGCAAAACTAGTATCTGAACCTTCGTTTTCAAAATTATAGCTCTCACTAGACCAAGAAGATAACATAATGGATTCTTTTACAAGCCCATGCCTGGCAATTACATAGCGTAAAAGGATCCCAATCAAGATAATCTGACCCCACTCTTCCACATCAGGGAGAGTCTCGCATAACCTTTTATAATTTCTTCCAATAAGAGACAAGTTGTTTGGACAAACAGAAGCAAATGCAGCAGCAGCAGCTCCAACTACTCCAGGAGACTTGTCACTCAACAATACTCCAATAGTCTGCACAACAAAACATTGTAGACCTATCATGGAAAGCCACACAGGCTTTTTTGGGTGTCTAGATAGAAACAGATGAACATCAAATGCTGACCTCTTCAATCGTTGTGGTACTTTCCTCTAGGCGCAAATCATGCAACTTGGGAAGAGCATTGGCAGCACACTTTCTAACATATACAGACGGATCTCTAGCACATTTTCCCACCGCCAGAAGAACAAGAGGTGCAATTACATGTAGACGGATTCCTGCCATAGTACGTAATGCCCACGCCCGCACCAATGGATTGAAATCCCCTAAATCCTTCTGGAAATAATTTATTGATAGCAACGCTTCATTTGGACGCCTGGAATATAAGAAAGGGCACAAGTAAGTCCCAACTCGCAACAGTACATCCTGTACAGTCAAACTTTATGTTTATCTGCATATGCATATTGGACTTCAATAGAACAAGGGCAAAATGTTGTGTTAATCTCCAAACTTATATCAAAATATTTTTTCAGTTCAACTAGAGGGGGACAAACTATTGTCCCTCCAACTTTATGATTTGAGTTTGGGTACAGAAAAGTACCCAAACGAATACAAGCTGATTCACATACTGAAAGATACTTTGACAACATTCAGTTATCTTAATTAATCTCACAAAGATCATATTCTCAAACTAAGTACTGGAGTAAACATAAAAACACAATATAGAATCGTAATGAGGGTAACTGATGGGTTCCTGAGGGAGTCGTTGGAGTTAAAAGTTGTGGTTCAGAGCATACTTTTCAGCATAATGCAGTAGGTACAGATAAACCAGCTTCTTCACTTCCAGTGACTGTGATGCCACATTTTTAACCACCTGTATGTCCATCAACCAAACAAGACGTCCATATAAGTCATATTTTCCCAACAAAAACTAAAAATTGCATGTATTCATGAGGTAAACAACAATATCAACTAACTCTCATACAGTACCGTCCAATTTCATTGATGCATCAATATGAATATTCACTAATTGGATAAGTATTACTTCAATTGAGAAACAAAAAATGGAAAAAATACATCCACAATTTTCTTTACTTTCTCTTTTTCTTTCTCACCAACTAAACAGGGGTATTTAAAATCAGACTTATGATACAGATACTTTTATGATAACCTGAGGGAAGAAATTGGAGACATCGAAGCCCTGAGCGATGAGAGCGAGCAATCGCTTGAGAGCTTCGCAAATCTCGGAATCGAATTTGCTGTCGAGAAGTGGTGCAATGCTGACGACGTCGGGATCGTCGTAAAGGTGAGCATCCGTGCCGATCCGAAACACAATCGTCGATGCTTTACTCAGTGTCTCTGCTGTGGCTCCGAATTGCGTGAACATTTTCTAGGGCTTAGGGTTACGATTCTGTATCAGAATTCTGAGTACATAGAGAGGGGGCTGTGTTCTTGTTGAAGACAGAATAAAGCGTGCTCGGAGACTCGGAGATTGTCAGCATGGGCTATTATAGGAAAAATTCATCTACGCCTCTTTCTATTTTCCAAAACTTCATCACATCCCTATCTATATTTACATGTTTGTTGCAACAAATACCCTGGTGCCTAGGCCCGTTAAAGGATCGGATTTAGATGGAATTTTGATCGAATTGAATTTGAATTTAAAAATTCGATTTGAATTTTATCCGATAATTTCACGGATTTTATTTTTACAATATATATTTGAATTCGTTAACAATCCAAATTTGATGTATTCCAAATAACTTAATTAATTAATTTTTAACAATTTATACCTAAATTTTTATAAACAATCACATAAATTCTTATATATTTATATAAAAATGTATAAATAATTCAAATCGGGGCATAATTGGATTGGATATAGGTATATTCAAATCATAAATCCATTAAATAAAATGTATTGAATTCAAATTCGAGTTTAGATTAACAAAAAAAATATTAATTCATATCCAATTAATCGAATTCATTTTTGGATCGGTCCATTGACAAGCCTTCTAGTAATGGTTGGATAACATTAGCACTTTGATCCCCTTGATTATATCCATATCTCACATTGCTCCATTAACTACTTATGTTTCTCATATTACATCACACCTATCATATTCATCACGTTGCACTTCAACTATTACGTTGCCCCAAATTAGATATTACAAATGCATGCTTTACTACACATGTAGATATTTTATGTATGAAAACATGATGAATGTTTAATTTTGGAACGATAAAATCAATTCAAGTATTTGAGAGAAATGTGAGAAACTCATTATATTTCGAGAGGACAAAATCAAACCACTCATAATTGAGGGAGTCAAGTCATAATTTATTGAGTAAACCACATAAATAACCCTTGAAATTTAGTCTTTATTTTAAACTATACCCTAAACTTTCAATTTTTTTAATGTACCCCCTGAATAATATAAATCATTTTAATCAAGTACTTTTGTTAAATTCTAGTGTTAAATGGGGATGAAACCCTAACGTTGGCAACTAGGGGAGGGCATTTTTGTCCATTCAAGTAATATGTATAGCTGGGTTGATGACCGTACTCAAAAACTCTTTTTTGTTGTAGAACTGTAGATCTAAAGTTGTATCGATGACAGATATACATTTTTTTGTGAACTGATGTATTCTTTGCAAACTGATATACTCTTTTTATGAACTTATGTACTCATTTTGTTATGACAATATGTGTTGTGAGACATTTGTGGAGAATTCATTTGTTGTAGCTTCAATTTTTTTTTTATCTCAATCATCAAATTATTTGTCTCAAGTTCTAGCTCTGTTTCAAGGGACTGATTCATTCAAAGCATAATAGGGAACATTTCATCCACAGACCAACAAAACAATATAACAATACTCATTTCTCCACAAAACTGAACTTTCACTCATATTTACTCTTATTAAACATTTACATGTAGTTCAAATTAACCTTCTAAACTTGTTGATGCTTCTCCACAGTGGTAGTAAACATCAATGACCTCTCTCTTTCTCTCTCTCACTCTCCCACAACGACAATCAACTGGACTGAGCAAAACTACTTGTTCTCTACTACGATGAGTGTAACATACAGTGGAGAATGAGTGGGAGATTTTGGCGCCCTTTCTTCAACCTAACTATACATATTACTTGAATGAACTAAAATGTCCTCCACCAACTATCATCGTTAGGGTTTTATCCCTATTTAATGCCAAAATTTAACAGAATGACTTGATTAAAACGATTTACATAGTTTAGGAGAAACATTAAAAAAATAAAAAATTTAAGGTGCAATTTAAAATGAAAACTAAATTCATAGGTCATTTATATTGTTTACCCTAATTTATTCTATCTAGGGTTTTTTTTTCCGATGTCTTATTTCTCTTCTATTTTTATTGCACTCTATATCTCTCTTTTTTCTCTTTATGAATAAACCAACACACACATGCAAATAATACATATGTGAGTGTATATGTAAGTCTATCCTCATAAAGCAACGGTACTCACACCCATATTGCCTCCCTTCACATCCCCACCACAAAAGCAACCACAACATTGTCTAATAATGAATATCTTACACTACGACCACCCTAGAATTGGTATCACCCACAATTGAAATGATATGTATGTATAAACATTATTCCACCCTAGAATTGGTATCACAATTGAAATGATATGTATGTATAAACATTATTCGAACACAAAGTCGAACCCATATTCAAATATGCAAACTTTATTAAAAATCACCAACAATTTGCCTATACTTACTCATAACCAGTCACCTCCACATTCTTCTCTATTTGTAAGCCTAGTAACATACACATGTACTCGACACACCCCACAACCATATCTTTAGCACCAGTTCTCATACACGTACACAAATGTTTCGCACACATACACATTCAGAGAGAGACCAAAAAAAGAGAATGAGAGAGAAATTAAGAAAAAATATCGAACGTGATAGATACTTTTTTTTAGTTATAATATATACAAACCCTATTAGTTTTGATTTGTCCACACATATACACACGAGCTCATAAATACGTGTATCTCTTCAAGTTTTTTGCATGTAAGGAGTTTTAGGGAGGGAGCAAAAAGGATTCTTTTTGACAAATGGGGAAGGGTTTTGGAGTATTAGGGTTTCTATGGGAATAAGAGGATTTGTTTGATTAGGCTGGGAGGAAGATGTAGCGGTCTGACAACTTGGGGAAAATGTGTGTGTGTTTTCTTGTGCATTGCACGTGCATCTGATGATTATAATTTTAGGGGAAAATTTCAATCACACCCCTTTTAATTTATCATATATTAAAGGACACCATTTCTAATTTATATTTAAACATTATTGACACCCCCTTGTCATTAAATCACCATTTCTAATAAAAACAAATCATCCAAAATACCAGAATTACCCCTACATCAACCTCAAATAATCTTATATAAAATTCAATTAAACTTCAAGTCTATTAAAATTCATTTTTTTTCTGATTAAAATTCAATTTTCTGCATATTAAAATTTGGGCCTATTAAATTTTTTTCACGTATTAAAATTCGAGTCGATTTGAGCTTTACCTAAGCTATTAGTGCTGATTAAAATTTATTTTGAGTTAGTTAAAATTTATATTTTTTTTATTAAAATTCATGTCAAATAAAATTTTATTCCAGTTGATTAAAATTTATTTTTTATGTATTAAAATTTGAATCGATTAAATTTTTTTTTTTTTATGAATCAAAATTTGAACTAATTAAAATTCAATGTGAGTTGATTAAAATTTGATTCGACCCGATTAAAATTCATTTTTAATCGGCTAAAATAGAATTTTAATGGGGTCAAATTTTAATACTTAAAAAAATATAATTTTTAATTGACACCAATTTTAATACGTAAAAAATAAATTTTAATTAACTCGAATCGAGTTTTAACTGACTTGAATTTTAATACGTAAAAAAATTAAAAAATAGAAGGGGCCTTATTGAATATATGTCTATTTAGAGGTGGTGTGAATAATATTTTTCCTAAAATATATCATGAACAATTTAGTAAAATTATATTATAGTTAACACTTTTAATCTGATAAGAGGCGTCAATGAAAATTCAAAAAATAGAGGGAAAGTGCTCAAAGATATAGTAAATTAGAAAGAGTGCAGCTGAAATTTTTCTTAATTTTAGAGAAAGTGAAGATTTTGTGCTCGAATAATGAAATCTGCATTAAAAAATTATATCACATTTACGAAAATGACATTCAAATACAAAGTTAAGGGAGGTCTATCATTTTTACGCGCAATGCAATTGATATTTTTATTTCATTGATGTAATGAATGATTTAGTGAATGTTAATGTCAGGAATCACATTGGTTCAATGTGTGAAATTTAAAAATAAAGTACAAAAAATTAAAAGTCTAAAGATCAAAATGATACTCATGACAATTTTTAAGGACCAATAATGTAATTTACCATACTTACTGCAACTAATGCTAATTTGGTACCAACCATATTCTTAGTCCTTTCAACACTCTTTTCAATAAATAATTTTTCATACATGTATCAAAACTAATCCACTGCATGCCGAATAATGTATAATCATAGAATTCTATCGTTGATAATAAAAATAAGGGTAAAAGGCACTAATGGTCTCTAAGGTTCGAGACGTATTGTACTTTCATCCCTAAATTTTTTATTTTTATTCTCAATATTTACACATTGACATACTTTAGTCTTTACCTTAACTTTAGTAAAAAAAACTAACAGAAAATGTCACGTGCCCGGCACACGAGGGTATTAAGGGCCATTTTAGTCATTTTACAACTATTTATACATCCGAACACAGTTATTTTTAGACCCAAACACCCACCTTCTTCTTCCTATCTCTTCTCTCGTTACTGCGTCTCCACCTTCAAACCCAACACAAAAACCACAAACACAAATAGTGGCTGAAATTCTGCTACAATAGAATCTCACAATTTGCAACACAAAATCAAGTATAACATGAACAAAAATCTGCTGCATTTACCATATATAACTCTCAAAAAATTGGTCTCTATTTCATCAAAATATTCAGTACAATATGCACCAAATACAAGGAAAACAAATCTGATAATTTCAGCAACTGATAAAAAAAACAAACAGCTTTCAAAAACACACAAACGGAGCTTCTGCTCTGGAGACAGCAATTGATTTTTCTCCCAAAAATTCAGATTTCTTCTTTCTCCTTTCTGCTGAAAAAACCCTATTTTCTTCTTTGATTTTCTGCCGAAACACACTCTGGTTTTGGGTAGCCTTTTATACCTCTGTTTTCCAGCCGAAAAACCCTTGAATCAGGCCACTCCATGGCCAACTGCCTCTCCAAGCAAGAACCGACTTCGAAGCTATCCCTACATGTCTCCAAAAGCTAA